GAAAAAAGCAAGTCAGCTATATATCGATTTGTTGTACTCCTCAAATCACATTCACAATTTGGCTACATAAGAAAGGAAACTCATTGATTAAAATATTATTTTGTCAGTAGTCTTAATGTACAAGAGACTTTAAGACTCCACTTGAATATTATAAAATTTTTATTGAACATTGTACAATTTCTTGCGTATTATAAACTTTTATTGACTGTTGCATCTTATAATATAATATTCTCTAAATAAATATATCTCGTGCTTTGCACAAGTCACGTACTATATATATCACGTACATTTTTCTTTATTCATGTATATAATTATAAGCCTGGATAAATAGCCTTAAAATTGTGCACCCCTGTACTAGTTTGAAGTCTTAAAAAGTCTTCATAACAATCCCACAAAATCCACCAAAGTTATTAAAAGTTACATAAAGTCCACAAAAGTCATCTACTTTAAAAAGTCTTAAAAAGTCACTAAAAGTCTTAATTGAATACACCCCCCTTAATCGCCTCGCCCCGCTTCAGTCCTGACGTCTCTCAGCTCTCTATAATTCAGGTATTGACGGCGAAATCTTTGGCTATTTGAATGTCTTTCCTTCTGTGGCTAAATTTGATAAAGATTTTGCAAACCAGGGATTGATTGATTGATTTAATGTAGGAGTCCAAAGTAGTTGAGTATTGTTGGCAATGGCAGATATCGGAATTGTCTCAAACACCACCACACATATAATTCCCGATAAAGGTCAGCCACATAGCAACAACGACGATGTGATGCTTCTGGTGCGGTATTTGCGGTATTTACACGGCGCAACCGTGGATTGTTCAGTAATCTCAACCCAAAACAACTCCTTCAAAGTGCTTGATGATGGTGATCTTTCAAGCTTGTCTCTACTCAAAGAAAACTTTGATCCCCGTATCAGGCCCCCCTTTTTTGTTGTTTATGCTACTTGCAACTCATGGATGCTGTATGGTTCAATTAATCCTGATAATCCATTTGACTGTCTGTGGAACCCCACCACCGGCGACAATGCATCTCTTCCCTTTTTTGCTTTTGGTTCCGAACGTTTGTCGAATCCTTGGGCTTATGGGCTCGGGTACGATCCTGCAGGGGACACCTATAAGGTGTTGAGATGTCGTGTGATGGATAATTTAAGAAGTGCCACTGAGATTGGGAAGCTCTACGTTGAGCTGTTGTCGTTGTCCGCCGCAAGTGATTCGTGGAAGGAAATTCCGTGTCCTCACGACCCCTTTAGAATTCGACCCATTCAACAACCTTCTCTTTACATCAATGGCTTTTATTATTGGGGAACTTATGCGGGTAGCTTTGTTTCGTTCGACTTTGCTAAGGAGAGGTTTGGCCCTCTGATACCCATGCCCAAGAGCGATAAGCTCCCCAACGGCACTGCTTATCCTGTTGAGTATGATGCGTCGCTTGCTGCTGTTGTTTTCGAGGATCGTGCATTGCTGATGAAAATTGATCCTGCTGCACCTTTTGTTTTTGAGATTTGGGTGTGGGAAGAAGCAGCCGCCACGTGGTCTCTGGTGTTCACAGAGGGAATCCGGGCTTCAGATGATGCTTATGTTGTTAGAGTTTTGGGCCTCTACAAGAACCATAAACTCTTTCTTTCTGACTCCTATGGTGACCTACTGGTTTACGACATTGAATCGCGCAAATTGGTGAATCTCGGTATCCGTGACGAGTCTAGGTTTATGATGGAGGTCGTCCCTTATGTTGCCAACGCCGAATCCAGCTTCATATCCTCCTCAAGAAGTCGCTGGCCTGGCGACACAACCACTAGTGTCGATGGTGTTCCTACTACTATTCGGGCACTTACTCGCAGTGTGAGACCTAACGACAGTCTGATGCTTATGGTGCAGTGTGTGGTCGACTGGACCCGCATTTTCTTTGTGATCTCAACGGAAAACAACTCGTTCAAAGTTCTACAAGGTGATGATAATCATCTTCCAGATTTGTCTCGGCTCAAAGCTGAAAACTACGATCTCGATTGTATGAATGCCAAATATCACGTCGAAGCGAGTTGCAACACATGGATGCTGTGGTCATGTAACGAAAATCCCGCATGTTCGGATCTTTTACTTCTGTGGGACCCTAGGACAGACGTGTTTATAACCCTTCCTTGTTTTGAGGCGGAGCCACGCGTGCCTCACCCTGACCCAACCACCAGTGTCTTGTGGGGTTTCGGTATTGGGTTTGATCCTTGTGCACCTGGGGACTATAAGGTGGTGAGATGTCGCGTGTTGGAGTATTTTCATTCCGACAACGAGGCCTACGCGGAGGTGTTTTCGCTTGAAACTTGGAATCAAATCCCATATCCCCATGATCTTGTGTGGAAAGTCTATCAGTACCCGTCGCTTTTCATCAATGGCTTTTATTATTGGATGGCACGACATTCCACCACAAAGGATGCTGCTATTATTTCGTTCGACTTTGCTAAGGAGGAGTTTCCCCCTGCTCTCATCCCTATGCCCGGTAGCATAATTCTCAGAGACATCACGATTTTCTGTGTTTCTCTTGCTGAGTTTGATGGGCATCTTGCTGCTATTGTTTTTGATTATCACGGACAGGAGAAGAAAATAATGAATATGGTTTATCCAAGACAACAGCAGAGGAAGAGGAAGAACAAGAAGAACAGTGAGTCTTTTACTTTTGAAATTTGGGAATGGAAGCACCGCTGCTGGTCCCTTGTATCCACTTACAAAGTCACTAGTCGTGTTGTTTTTATGAGGGTCATCGGCCTCTACAAGAAGGATAAAGTGTTTCTTCAGGACTCGCAGGGTTACCTATGGCTTTACGATCGTGAGACGCTCAAGCTGGAGAACCTCGACATCCGTGACAATAGTTTGACTCTGACGGTCTTCCCTTATGTTTGAGAGCGATCCATCTACATGTTGACGTAAGTGAGGTCTAGTAAACGTGGTTTTGTGGCTAGCAGCACAACACATTAGGAAAGTGTGGTCTCTTATATGTCCTATTTTATTGCAACCCATGCTTGGTGTGGAGAACTTGTCTTGTATTATTTAATAATCTCATCTTATTTTCCTGAACTGGAAACTCGCTCCATAGTGCTTGATGGACTCACATTCCGTTTAGTACAAGAAGCGGATGTTTATGACGACACATTATTAACTTCACACTAGTAAACAACGCTCATCAACATGCCTTGACACATGATGAAACAAAGCTTTAGTGCGTAGTATCATTTTTCGAGACAGGATGTTTGCTTCTGTTGATAACAACTAGTTAGTTAGCTGATAACAAATTGAGGATCTCTGTGCATATTTATGGGCCTGTGTTTTAGCATTGTGCAGTACTACTTGCCATCCAAGACTCAACATCATGTCTGTTTGTGCCTAACCATCACTTAAAATTAACTTATTGGTCTCTGCCATGATAAATTTTTCTTTCCCAACCTGTATTAATGATTTTGCCTTGCTTTCTTAAATTGAATTTCGATCTGCATTTCTTATATATTTGCTATATAGTCTCTACAATTATTTAAGATGAGACAGCAAAAATGTTTCTCAAATAGAGGAGTGTCTTGTCAACTTTTCCCATAGTGACCCTTGTACGCATATTTGCGTGGCTGTGCTGTGATTCTTTGTATGTTGGTCATGCTACCTGTCTTGTGATCCTTATCTTGTGTTGGAGCGTGTGTCGTGTTGTCTGTGGCTCAAGTGGGATGGAAACTGTTTTCCCTCATTTTAATCTAATCTTATTTTCCTCAACTGGAAAATCCATGTTGTTTCATTCCTGCTCGCTCTAATAAGATTCATTGCAGTTTGATGCTGCTCGTGTTCGTTCGTTGCCACCTGGAAGCATCCACATCTGCGCCGCTTTTTTCAGAAGAGCGTTTTGCATCCACCTGGAAGCATCCACAGCTCATTAATTAATTTCAATCCGTTTATTTTTATAAATGAACTTTATTAGTAGGAATTAATTATTTCGAGTTATTCGATAAGTTTTATGATTAATTAGACATGAGTGTCTAATTTAATCATTCGAGATAACTAAATTACTTAGACATTTTGTCTATTCAGTTTTAACCGAGATTGTAACACCCCGCCTTGACTAGCTTTGACTTTTGAAAATCAGAGTTAATTTTTCGCTTTTATTTTCGAAATATCGTGCGAGTTTATTTTCGAAAATACTTTCTAAATTGCGGGATGCTACGAAAACTTTCTTATCTTTATCATTTGGACATAAATAAAACATGCATCCAATCGAGAAATGAACTCGGGCAAAAGCTGTGTTCTTATCCGGTGAAGTGAAGTAAGTTAGTCTGTATTCCTCTAGATGTTTAGAGAAGTGGACTGTCAAATCTTGTGAAGCGTACAAAATATTCACCAATACTTTGTTAAATAGTGTCTTATATCTATCAGTTGAAATGTGATAACAAAGCCGTTTATGGTTTGTCTATATGGAAATTAAAAAAAAAATCCGTTAATGTGAAGTCTGGTTGTTCTTCTTGTGTTTTTTGGAGTCATTCGTAAGGAATTCTTGACATGGAAAATGTGAAGTCTTTATTCTGAGAATCTCTGAGTTAATAAATTTTTTTTTGTTGAACAATTTCAAACTGGGGCTATAGATGAGACTGGGAAAAAACTGAGATTATATTCTTACCTACAGAATACTGAAGCAAAGTCCGTTAATAGAAATTTTGTTTCGATTTTAGAAAACAGATATTGACTAGGACAGAAGTTTTATTCTTTTCCGGTGAAGTGAGGTAAAATTAATGCTTCAAACATAACTAATGTCCTAATTCCCTCTTTGATGTTTAGAATGTGGGTTTATAGAATCTCATAAAATGTACAAGAAAATCATCGACAAAATATAGAATCTTGTTTTGTATGTGTTTTAAATCCCCTCATTTTTTGTCAGTAACGGTACAATTGAGCAAGAGGAGCTTGTTGAAGCTGTTCGACTGTCGGAGCATCTTAAAGAGAGAGAAGCTCGTATGAAAGCCATCACTGCACCCGAAAAAGACGATGAATGAACCTCTCCTTGCTAAGGATTCACCTTCTGGAAAGGCAGCTGTAGAAAGGTAAAGCCATGAAGAAGCAAACTTTATTTTATTGGATCTTGAAGAAAGAAAAGGAGTTTATGATACGGTGAACCTTAGACTCTTAAAGTTACTTTGGTTTAATATTCATAGTCTTGAAGGTGTTTGAGAAAGTCCAAAAAAGCTGGTTTTGTACTAGCTTTCTATGCCTGTATGATATGCTGCTGACTACTGAATAATGAAAGATTCTAGGTTTTTGGTTTAGAACATAACTATTTGCAGATAATGTTAACTCGAAGAGTCTTCACTTTTTCTTTTCTATCTGGGATCTTAACAACTTTTAGTTTGCAAATTTATGATGTCCTTTATGTACTTGTGAATCCTACTTCAATGGAGAGAAATCCGACGAGAAATACCGCCTAATAGGCTCCACCCCTTACCGACCACCATAATCAAAACCCTACATAAGATGTTTTGATTTTATTTGGATATTTTTTAGTTTGATATGGTTAATTTTGAAAAAAAAAGTGGTATGGTTACTTTTTAGTGGGATTTTGAGTTTAATCGAAACCCTACATAACATATAGAGAAAATTATTCCACTAACGATCTCCCAGTATTTTTATTGCATATCTACGATCACTTTAACATTATTAGCACATACCAAAACCCGTGTATTTGTTTGCATAAGAATCATCATAATTGTTTCTTTTTGTTTTTAATGTCTGGGTGCGTTTTTGTTGGATGGTATTTAAATAGACTGTGGCTTTTCTCTGCAATCAATTAATGGGAAAAACCAGAGCATAACGCCGCCATCAACCTTCAAAACGCCACCCTTCTTTGTTGGCAAGAGGAACGAAAATGACACAGTTTTCCTCTACGACTTCAATTGGTTCCCGTTTGGAATTGGGGAAAATCAAGAATCCCCCAGACGACGGTGTTTCTGTTTGGGTCGCCGCTCCTCGAGCTCCTCGATCAATTGCTTGCTTGTTTAAGTTAAAATGCGCACATGTTTTTCTTTTTTTCTTTTATTTAGAATTTGATTGATTTTAGATCTTCAAAACTCGTCATTAGCAATGCTTAGTGGTGTAGATTATTATTATTATTACTATAATTATTATTATCATTATTATTATTATTATTATCCGCATAGGTATCTTGGAGAATAAGTTAGAAATTAAATATTATTATAAGAGATCTTGTCTTGTTGGACAAGTTAGGAATAGGGTTTAGGAGTCTTATTTAAAGGACTCCATCATCTATTGTTTTATTCAGTTGATTATGAATTATTGAATGAAAATACAATTTGATATTGTGTTTAGATGTTCTTGAGATTGCGATCTCATTAATACCATCCCACTCGTACGCTTCTCTACATCACTCAGCAAATTGAACTTGATTTCTTAAAATGCTGTTCCTAAATATAGCAACCTCATCCCGCTCAACCTAATTGAATTAATTGTATGCATATGTATGTATAGGGCATCGATGAGAATGAGATCTTATTGAAAATTAAACCTTGTCTCAATCATTGTATGTATATGTATATATATCATATGTATATAATTTGGCCAGCGGATTTTCTCTCTCTCTCTCTCTCTCTCTCTCTCTCTCTCTCTCTCTCTCTCTCTTCCCCTACCTCCCCTTCAATATATGTATGATTAATGATGTTTCAACTTTTTTGAAATTTTTTTTGTTTGATTTATTATGTTGTGGGATATGTTGCGTTTATATACAATATATTTTCAGTATATGTTCTCGTGTGGTTGCCAATAATGTACAAATAAATTCTAGAACATTTGATATATTTCAAATTTAATTTTTGACCATTAGTACAACTATTTAATGTATTTGGTCATTAGCTCTTAAATGGTAAATTATATTAATCTAAAGAATTATTTTTTTATATAAAATGAAATAAAGTTAAGGAAAAAAATATATTGACAAAGATTAATTCATGAAATTGGTTTCGTCTGATTAATTGGAAGAACAAAGTTTACCTAACCTGTTACGATTTTCTATAAATATTTTTAGATAAAAAGTGAATATTTGTCAATAAAATATCAAATTAATGACAAATAAGCTTACGAAGCATACGAGACTGCAACTCAGGTTCAACGTATCAGTAATTATATATAAGGGCGATGCACGGGACAAAGATATTAAATGAGTTATTTCACAGGCTCCGTTGAAGTATAAAAAGTAATAGAGTTATCATCTACGTTTCACCTCTTTTAATAAGCGTTAAATGAAAATCAATAAGGTTATAATTAATTTTCCAACTTTTTTAATTAGCGTTGTTTTTTTAGCCACAACATTAAATATGAGCATATTAGGGCTAGCTTGTAAATTAATTAATATATTATCTCACTAACACATTTATACTAATATAAATTTTAGTTTATACATTTATTCCTTGATATAAAAAAAAATAAAAAATTTCCTTATTATTGTTCAGCATATAATACTTAATTATTATATTATTATAAAATTTTTTATCATCTAATATCATTATTATTTATAAAATTTATAAAAGTTGCACGTCTTCTTTTTATTTTTATTTTATGTAATGAAAACCATTTAATGCACGTTAGTATTATTTATTTATGTAATTTAAAATATGTAAATAAATTTAAAATCAAATAGTGTGTAAATATTTTACAAAATATACGTACATGTTTTTTAGAATTTAATTTTGTATACTAATTAAACAACTTTGGTTTAGCAAATGCCAAAAACTCGATATTTCTATAATCAAGATTTTTCTAATTTGCATTATAAGGTTTTATAGTTTATTTAGCATACGATCCAATGAAAATATATTTTACAAGAATTTTATTATAGAAAGAAATGAAAATAAAAAAAAAACTGATAAAAAAATCATGGTTGCCAATAATATACAAATAAATTCTAGAACATTGATATATTTCAATTTTAATTTTTGACCATTAGTACAACTATTTAATGTATCTGGTCATTAGCTCTTAAATGGTAAATTATATTAATCTGAAGAATTATTTTTTTATATAAAACAAAATAAAGTTAAAGAAAAAAATATATTAGCAAAGATTAATTCACGGACTTGGTTTCTTGTGATTAATTGGAAGAACAAATTTTACCTAACCTGTTACGATTTTCTATAAATATTTTTAAATAAAAAGTGAATATTTGTGAATAAAAAATCAAATTTATGACAAATAAGCTTACGAAGCATACGAGACTGCCACTCAGGTTCAACGTATTCAGTAATTATATATAAGGGCGAAGGGCGATTTCCATGATTAGTGTTGTTAATCAAACTTTAACAACGAAAATAATAAACATTTACTAAAAATAGTAGTAAAAAATTTTGGGAGTATTGAATGCATAATTTTTTTAGAAACTTTTTTAAATATATGCATTTAGTACTTATAAAACATAATCACACTACAATAAAACTTGTTTACTTTCAAAAAATTCGAATCAAATATCTGGAGTTGTAAATAATATATGTTTTTGACATATATAATTTTAAAAATATAATTCCACTTTTAACAAATTTAGTGTAAAAACTCGGGTGCCATATTGAATTAATTATCACTTTGTTAGTGTAAAAAGTTTGACATTTACCTGAAATAGTAACTGAATTCCCGCCTAAATAATTTGTTTTTACTTTTATAGTAATTAGTAATTCTTTTCAAAAATTTTGAAAAGAAGCGGTCATTTTTTAAAATTTAAATTAAAAAAGTCGACATTTGCGGATCTGTTTATTCATTTGTCGATATTTTGGTACGTTTTTTGTTACCATAACAAAGGAAAGTATTAAATGAATAAGTTTAATTACTACACATAATTTTGGTCCAATATTTTACTCAAATATGTTCTGCTTTGTTGGAAAGTAAAATCTATACAAATCCTGTAAGTGAACAGCTCACGGGTATTCATTTGTCTGAGGAGGTCGATTGAAAAAAGCTTGGCGACGGATTCAGATCCTACGGCGTGGGTATCAGGGACGAGCAGCCTCTCCGCCAGGTAGGCTTCAATTGCGAGGGAGATCGGGAATTAGCTCCATCTAGGGATGACGAGTTTCGCAACCCTAGCTGCTACAGTCCGCATCCATCCTTCAATTCAGTGAAAATTGATTACTTATTCTGTATTTTTTCAATTTTTTTTTTGTTCTTCCATATTTCACGATGATCGTGTGGCCGATCTACGCGGAGCAGCAGATGAACATGGTCTTCATGGTGGATGAGATTGGGGTGGCGCTGCCGCTGGATGACGGGGACGATGGGTTATGGCGGCGGCGGAGCAGGAGAAATGGGTCATGTAGCTGATGGACTCGATGGCAGGTCGAGGCCCCCATCGTCTTCTTCATGTGTTTCTACTTCTCCATTGAAGGGATGTTCAGATGTATCATTGTATCCTCGGTAAAAGTTCGTTTTTTCTCTTCATATGCCCTAATTTTTACGCATTTCGACTGTGCTTTGTGTGTGTATCTGTGGTTCTTGTGGATATGGTGAACAAATAACTGCAATATCGTTTGTGCAGGATGTAAATAAGGATGGGTCTAGGCAATGGCTGAAGAGTTTTAGCGCGACTCGATGGTTCATGGTGAAACTGGAGAATCCGTCATGGCCTCTATCATCTTCAGGTCACCTTAATTCTTGATTTTGGTGTTATGAATCCTTTTTTCCTTGGTTTTATGAAACCCTTTTTTAATATTTATTTATTTGCTTTGAGGTGGTTTTGAGGAAGTTGAGGATTGGCTTGCGATGTAATCAGAGCTTAATTAATGGAGTTCTTGAGACTTCAATATTTCCAAGTCAATCTTTTGTTTTGGTATCTCCAGATTCAAACTTTAATTTCAATTTACAGTCAAGGTTTTAGTTTCTTCTTCTGTAAATTATAGTTTGAGACCTCTTAACTGGCATTGATTAGAAATACATGTTTATCCGCCTCTGATCATGAATGCCATTCAAGTTTATCAATCCTTATTATCATGCATATCCAACTAATTTCTATCTTTTATATTATGTTCTTTCCCGCCAGTTGGTCTATCAACTCTTCGTGACGAATATACAGCCTGGAGAAGAAGACGTGAAAATAGTTATGCAAATGTCGGAGGAATCTATTCGTGCTCAAGAGAGATATCCTTATACTGCATTTGCTAACCGTGTGAGGGAGATCAACTATGAAAATCCGAAATTTCTATTTGTTCATGGTAATTTATCTATCCTTTGCTATTTACTTTTTTTGTTTTTTATATTTTGGTAGTAATATGGGTATTTTTCCTTCAGCCTATTAAACTTAGTCACATATGGCAAGTTGATCCCTTCAGAGCTTGTGAGTATTTTAACAACTGCTTTAAGGAATCCATCAACTTTTCCTGTGGTCATTGTTGTTAATATTTATCATGCCACTGTTTGCCATCTGATACTGAAGTGTTTGGTAAGTGTTGTGGATCTTTCTAATAATTTCTGGTGATTGATGTGTCTTCTCTGTTTATGAGTTTTATGAGTACTTTATCCAGGGTGGAATCCCAAGACCTCCCAAGCCAATCCTGAATTTCAAACGTGATGAACTGAAAGGCTTACCATTTACTTTTCCGTCCACTGTAATTAGGTTGGTTAACCATTAGTTACCTTTTGATTTCTTGACAGTTAGGGTGCTGCTTGATAAATAATATCTTTGTCGGTTATGAATAAATAAAACACATAAATTTGTATATGGATTGTTACCTTTGTCTATACTACCATATGCTATATATATGGCTGTGCCACATTGTGTGATTATTCCAATTTGGTGTATGTGTAACCTATTGAATTGAGTGGTTTTACCTTCTCTCTTCATTATAAGTGTGCTTAATAAAATTTCCTCTGTTTGGCATTTTTTTTTTTTTTTTTTTTGNTGTAGTAATGTTATCCTGAAGAGTATGATTGAAATAGTACAGAAACTTTAGTTTCAAAGTATCAAATCAATCATGAGAAAATTAATGTAGAATCTGCATTAATATATATAAAAATTGTTATTATTTGGAATTGGCTGAACGCAAAGGACTAGCCAACTTTCAACCGTCAAGTAAGATTCTTTATACAAATATATCAA